CCGCTCCATCTATCTACCCCTGCCCCGCTCCCCCCCCCCCAATCCCCCCCCTGTTCAATTTTAGGACAATTGTGGCCCGACAGTCATAAAGTTTGTCCACACCTGGTTTAGACTTCCATGTTCTCATGTAATTATTTACTAGAATTTATTACAGTAGTGCTTGTCGAAGCTTTACAACACACGTCTGTGACCTCTCAGTAGACCGTGATACTCCAGTACGTGAGCAAATATAATTTGGCCCATATAACTTGGTCCTATTGTTTTTTTTATTTTTTATTGTTAATTCCATCCACTAACACCCTCCTACTTTTTTATTTGTATTCTATTTATGTTGTAATGCGTAAAATTGAATTTATATTCATTGCACATTGTTTTTTTTTTTTAATTTAGCTTTTGAAAACACAGCTGGGTTTAATTTTTTGCAATCCCACAGATATTTGTTTGCGCTCCGAAATATTTGGCTTTAGGAGCCCGTATTTGCTCCTTGGGGAAAAATGCGAGTGCAGATTTTAGACACACACCAAGTCACAAGTGACATTTTTTTTCTTTTTTTTTTCCACAGGCAGAAAAATGCGAGTGCAGATTTTAGACACGCACCAAGTGACATTTTTTTTCCACATTAACGACCGGCTAATTGCAAAAAAACACCAGAGAGAGAATATGGAAGTATGTAAATATTTACAGGCCAAAGGTTTTCTCTGGAAGTGCAACAAGTCTGGTTTCTGATCTGCAGACTCTTTTCGAACGTGGTGAGCAGAAGAGGATGTGTTCAGGTATGTGAATCACTGGGGCTGACATTATATCATGCAGTAAGGGTTCTCTAGAGACGCACATACACACGTTTACACACACACACACATACACACTCGCAGATATATACACACACACAGATGATGCCCCGAGGACGAGGTCTGAGGATCCATTTCCTCCCGCTGCTGCAGTGTTTACGGGAGATGTAATTATAATCCAGTGAGGCTTCCTTCCTCTAACGACACACACACACACACACACACAGACACATTTGTGTTTAATTAAAATGAATTAGTTTAATCTGTATATAAACCACAGGTCTTTAAGATTTCGAAGTCTTGGAAATGACAACAGGAAAATGAACCTGTACGTCGACGACGACGACACGACCAAATCCCCGTCCCTTTTGTCTCATTGTCTGTTTCCTTTTCTTTCTCTCTAATAATTATCGTGCAGTGGCTGCGTGGGCTGAGAGAATCTAACATCCCAGGGCCACTGAGGCATAATATTAGTCATCGTCACTTCAGGGCTCCAAGGTTCAACAAGAACAAAGAGGACACAAGCAGACTAATGAAAGAGAAAATGATTTGATTCAAGTCTGTTGTGACAAACGATGCTGGCTCTGATTGTTGTAATAAATCTGAAGTTGCTTTTCTGTCGATTGAAATGTGATGTGTGAATCCTGAATGCCAAACAATATAAACAGTTTAATAAACACTGACTGGAAAAGCTTAACGCAGCAAAAGAAGAATCAAAAATGGAACTCCAAAATATTCTAATGTTGGCTCTGAAACCCAAACTCCAAAACAAACAGACCAACTAAACTGTCGGTGGTGTATCTGGGCTGTTAACTGCATGGACTGGCTCCAGCTCTGCTGCGACCTTTTAAAGGATTATGTGGTGGAAAATGGACAGATGGATAGAAAAACATGCTAAAAAAAATCATGACCAAAAATTGAAAACAAAAACAAAACCTAAAACCAAACATTAGCAAAACAGCCAAATTAGAAAATAGTTGGAAGAATGGGTTTGTTTTTCAAAACAAATAAAGCAGAAAGTTGGTTTAACACATGTTAATAAAGCAGAAAGTTGGTTTAACACATTTTGAACACAAGTTGTGAAGTTTAACCTAAAAAATTATATTTTAACTTCAACATTTTGGAGAAATATTACATTACAATACATTTAGCAGACGCTTTTATTCAAAGTGACTCACAATTTGAGTCAGTCAATCAACAATAAATCTACAGTAAACATACAAAATACATAAATAATAATAAATAATAGCAATTAGTAAAGATATAGTTATGGTCAAAGTAGGTCAGAGAGTAAGAAGAATTATTTTTGTAAGTTTATTATAATTAGACTACATGTATTTTACAAACCACCGCCTTGCTAGTGCTATTAGCCACTATGCTAAGTTAGCAGTGCGTTTAATCGCATTTAAACGCTATAATATGTGCTGATATGAAATTAATTTACAAAAAAAATAGCTTAAACAAGAGACATCCGATAAGTCGATTGCGATCTAGTACTTGTAGACCGTGAGCAAATTAAATTGTTTAAAGTCTACAAACTATTTTAACATTAAATCTCAAGGAATGATTAGTAACCATGTACGTATTGAATCATATTGTGTCATACAGTTACATGCATTTTATCAAAGTCGAGTAAATCTATATATTTAATAGCATCACTGCAGATAGATCATTCACCATGTCATGAAAAGTAGCTCCCAAGCCAAAAAAGTGTGGACACCGCCGGCTTAAACCAATGCTAACAGTGGAAAATATCCTCGACTATCCTGTACTATGCTTGAATACTACATTGATATTTTAGGCTTGTTTATAACTCACATTTGTTTGTTGTCCTGACATGAAGTCACAGAGTGGCTTCACTGTGTTTCCAGCTACTAATTAACTGCATTGTTTTGTCTTTGTACAGGAATAAAAAGGCAGCCTAAAACAGTAGGTGAACCGTGAACGCTGTAAAAGCTTTCATTTCGTTGCTTCCACACTGGACGCCTGCGGAGCGACTGAAAACCTCAGCAGGGAAAGGTTACAGCCACATTAGCCGTCGTACTGTACCTCCTGTGGATTAACATGGAGGCAGGAAGCAGCAGCTCACAGGACACGTTGGACAATAAAACAGCGGACCAGTTAATAACACACTTTCCTTTTCCCTCATGACTGTATATCCCTGTTTATATCCTTCTTTTTCCTGGCACAGTGTCTGTGTTAGTGCGCGCGTGTGTGTGTGTGTGTGTGTCAGTAGCACAATGATATAAACTGGGTTGTGGCCTGAAAAAGGTTTCGGGAGAAATATAACAAGTATCTGTTGCGCTAGTCTTCTTTCTTAGCTACTGGGCTAGAGTTTTATTAAATTTCAGTATTTTTGAGGAACTATGCTGTACCATATTTTAGATTTAATCTGATCATCGAAAAAAAAAAAACCAAAAAAAAAACCTCTAGCTTGTTCATTTATTTACCCAACCCAAATCCGGGGTGTCAAACATATGGCCAGCTGGCCAAAACCAGCTCGCTAGGTGGTTCAATAGGGCCCACTTGATGAATTTTGAAATAGAAAAAAACGTACAAACTTTTCATGTTGATGTTTTTTTTAAAATTATATTTCATTAAATAGGAATATTTTCTAATATACTCGTACATATTTGCAGGATAAAAAGGGAACGGACTTATTGTTATTTATAGGTAATTATGTTATGATTGCCCTGGTCCAGCCCACTTGACGTGTAATCAGGCTGTATGTGGGCCATGAATCAAACTGAGTTTGACACCTCCGGTCTAAACCAATCTAACTCAACTTAACCTTGACAGCCTGCTGTAAACAAGGACACCATCATCGCAGTGATGGCAGCTCGCAACCTGCTGGAGAAGGATATCGGCTCAAAGTTGCAGCAACTTGATTAAAAAAACAACGCCAACAGATAAAGATGTTAAAGATGAACTGTGGCTTGTCACTTATAGACAACGAACAATTTTGTTAATAATAAAAGTAAAAGTAAGTTCAAAGCACTGTAATGTATGCAGTATTTTATTTCACGGTAACGTTTGCCACCAGTTTTTAAAAATCAACCTAACTTTTTAAGCTTCCAGTGAACGAAGTATTTCTTCTTCTACTCGTTGCAGTAACTGTTTTATTACACGTTTTATTATTTTTACAATCATTAAAAAAAAGTTTATAACCTTCTCGTCACCGTAGCACGAACAAACATTCATAACTGCATTAACTGGTTTGTTTTTTTTTATTCCTATTTCCTTATTTTCACCTATAGAGTTTTCTGTTTCTCTCTTGTGGCTGAAAATGTGTTGAATGGAAAAAAAAGACTGACACGGGTTTAACTTCACTTGAAGAGACCACAGGGTTGGCAGGAGTAAGTGTAAGTGTAAGTGTGTGTGTAAGTGTGTGTGTGTGTGTGTGTGTGTGTGTGTTCTGAGGCTAAGCTAGTCCAGCTAGTCTGAGTCAAGCAGATGGAGACCAGATGAAGTTTTGACAAGACAATAATTATCCTGAACCACACCCTGTGAAATCATAGGTCTACGTTTGACAGGAGTGTGTGTGTGTGCGTGTGTGTGCGTGGAGGTGAAGGACAGGTAAACACACACAATGGCTGCTCCTCAAACATCCCACTCCATTTGTCTCTCGAACGCTTTAATAACTACTCTCTGAGTTTTTTTTTTACTGTAGCCATATCTTTGTAAATATGATTTGTTTGTGTGTTTGTAAACAGTTTTATTAATAGTGTTCTCATAAAGAAAACTTGATTTTTTTTGTCTGCTATAATATTAGTGCGGGACCCGCTCAATCATCGGACTGCGATACGATTCAACATAAAGGAATGCTAGTTTTTAGTTCTGAAACCATCAATTATTTTTCAATGGATCAGTCAACTAATTTCATTAAAATACCAAAGTTAATTATGGTGGGACATTTTGTGTTTTGCCAATGTTAACACTGGGCTCTATGTTTCCCATGGAGCACATGTGCTGCTAACGTCAAATGTTTGGGAGCAGAAAGTGACGTCCATGCTTGTCTGATCATTAATCTGAAGCGTCACAAAACCAACCGTTAGACGACGACTGGAGCTACACATCAATATAATGCAGTCCTTGGTTCCACACACTTTGAAAACGCTGTCAAACTAGAAGAGTGAAACGTCCTCTGAAGATGCTTTTTAATCTAAACTGTTCATGACAACAAGTTTGTAAGTAGGGATGTCTCGATACATTCATTCATGCCAATACTGATATCAATTCAGTGTACTGTGTGCTGTCATTGCTGAGACGATCGTTTCAGCAATGAGCATTAGGTATCGGATCAAAGGAGCTGAAGTTCCTTTTTTCGATGTTCGGTCTTGGGATTCTTGACCGATATCAACCCTGAGTATCGGATCGAGCCGTCCCTATTTAGAACACAGACACACAGACTGAGGGTGTATAAACAAAGACAATAATCAGGCTAAACCTCTCAACAGACTGCAACAGCCCCCCCCCCTCCTTATGCTTTAATCCTATCACCCTACAGGAAACACCTCTCGTGTTTGCCTGGTTGCCACGGTGACCCTATGCCTTACCCGCCCCCACAGATCTTGTCTTTGATAACCAGACAGTCCAGGAGACTCACGGAGCGGAAAAGACAGCTCTGTGATTCTCTTTGTAATAAAATAAAATAGAGTTGTAAACACTGCGTCACTGATATATTAAATAATCTTTGATACAACGCAGGAAAGGAATCATCACTTTAAGTCGGAATTTTTGTTCAGAGATGAAAACGTAAAAAAGGAAAGATTTCAAAATCAGGTTTAAACACATTAAAAAAAATTCTCAATCCAGCAGTAAAAGAAGAAAACGACATAATGTTGTTTTACTGTAAATACGTAAAACACTAAAGGAATACTTTGCTGCTGAGAATACGTACATGAAAACCACCACCAAGAGACTAAAAAGCAGCACATAAAAAAACATGGAAGCACCACCAAGAGACTAAAAAGCAGCACAAAAAAAATAAATAGCAAACATGGAAAAACACGGTACAACCAAACGCACTAACAGCTAAAGTGTGAAGTTTGTCCTTCACCGTGAAACCTGTTCAACACATGTTCAGACAGGAATCACAGAACTGGTTTTTATTCAACACCCACTCCAAAAGAAAAAAAAAATCACCCAATACTGATAAAACTGTAATTTACTGTAGCTACTAGCACAGTTCCTTTACACTTTTACCAGGATACGGTCTGCTAGGATTTTTAATCTGGTTCGTTGAAGTTGTCTAAATTATATTTATAATTATTTTAACATTAGACTTCTGTCATTTCCCCAATAGATGGCGCACTACAGGAGAGAGGTGTATTGCTCTCTACTTCATCGTTTCGCTTTGCCCATTGTTTGAACTTCCAACCCTCCAGTAAAAATGAGCGAGTCAAAGAAAAGGAAAGTGGACAGTGAGTGCTGAGAGTTTAATAAGGAGTGGACAACAAAATGTTCTGATACGCAAAGAAACTTTTGCCGTTTTCAAATAATACAATATCAGACGTCACTTCACCACGAGTGAGTAAAGGCTAAAAGCATTTGTGTGCGGCTTTTGAATGTCATTTATTGTAGTTCACACCAAGACCACATGTATGTGCTGCTGTCACCCACTGTTATTATTCAACAGAAGAAAATACAGATTCATATCTAATATTTAGAAATACTATAATACTTTATATCCCAATTCATGGACAGCCTCTGTGCAGTGGTGCAGCATGTGTGTGTGTGTGTGTATGTGTATAGTATATATGATTTATACACATGTACAGACATCGTTGCGGTGCCTGGCTGCAGCATGACTCACATTGAGCCGACATGTGACACCATGGTGACGTACATACAGCAGCAGCGCTAACGCAAAATCCTAATGTACAGAGGAGGAGCTGACATGACGTCCATCACCTGCTACAGCTGTGGCTCCCCCGACCACCGACTCCCATCCACCTTTGCTACACAACTGCTGAGGAACGAGTGTTCGCACCACATTTGTTTTCACCATATCTGCTTTAAGCGTGTGTAATCTTAACGTAGTCTTAACATATACTGTATACAATTAAACCAACATGTACGCAGCTCAAGAGGAAACAGGTGAAGAAAACAGACAAAAATGAATAATCAGGGAACTCACTCATGGTGGGAGTCCAAGGGTGAGGGATGGGACGAGGCCCAGAGAGGGTGGGGCTTAGGAGAGGTGAGCTTCTTCTTCACTGTATTTCTCCTCGAGGCACTCATGACCTGCAGAAGAAAAATCTTAATGACTACTGTGACCTCCAAACATCATCGTCACTGGTGTGTGTGTGTGTGTGTGGGGGGGGGTAAAAATGACTTAAACAGTAACCGCCCAATCAGGAACTGGTTATACATTTTTAAAGTGAATCAATGACCCGCTGAAACAAAACAACATGTTTGTTTGATCATGCCCTGGCCTCAAAAAACTCACAGAGGCCAAAAGAGGTGGAAAAAGTACTAAGAAAATGTAATTAAGTATTTTTACTTTTTTACTCATCTCAATCCTAAGTACCCATCTAAAAATCTACTCGAGAAAAAGTAAAAAACAAACTTAATTCAAAATTTACTTTGAGTAAAAGTTACTTTGTTACTTTGAATTACTTGATGTAAAAAAGGACTAGTCATACATCCAATCTGCAGCTAGATGGTTTTAATCTACAATTCAAAGACAAGTGGCATAAGTTGAGAATTCTATGATCCATTAGAACGATTATACTGCAAATTCAAACCACATTTAAATTAAAGCAGGCACATTTTGCATCACATGATAAAGTTATTGCCTCATTTGCCTTTGAAAACAAAGAGCTGGCTGAGATATGGCTAAGGATTTCCTCCATTTTTTGTTCAGAACCAGCCATTATCCAATGACAGGCTAGAGCCCATCTCTCAGTCAACACCAGCCATCATCCAATGACAGGCTAGAACCCATCTCTCAGTCAACGTCCTCTGGCTACAATCAAATAGTAGTTTTCTTTTAGTTAACGCAGATTGTTTTCCCCCATTTTTTACTCAGAAACGGGTTCGTTTCTAATGTAGCTAAGTAAAACACTTGAGTGAAAAAGTAAAATTACGTATTCCCAAAACTACTTACAAAAATTACAAATTACTCATGAAAACTACTCAATTACAGTAACTTCAGTGAATGTAATTTGTTACTTTCCACCTCTGGTAGCCAATAAATCAGAACAGAACTTGATGCCACAACATGCACCACAGTGTGTCCGTGTAGAAACACTTCTCTATAAAGTCCGTGTCCACTCAAGGCAGCGTTATCACAAGAATCAGTTTACTGCCTTATCTCACTGTTAGCCGGCCTTACTGACAGGAAACTGAAGTTTGTAGACCATTCATCCTTCCACATTGAAATTTAAGGATACGTTGTTTCCTGTGAGCTTAAATCGTCATCTTTTTCCTGCTGTCCCTGCTGGCAGCCATGGTTTTCTGATCTTCAATCCTTTGGTTCCTGCCTCTCTAACGGAAGCATTCGTGAGTGTTCGTAGCACACCAAGGCTTTATCTGCACTTCAAACAACCCCACCCTAAAAATCTTCTGAACTCCCTCTTAGAATCCTAGTAGCAACTCAAAGTTTTTACTTGTTACATCATTATCATTTCATGTTTTCTGTTGACTGTCAGACTCATGTGTCTGTAAGAAGTAACTGGCTTCACCAAAACCCTGACCCGGACACATCCTGATGCCTGGATCATTTTCACCACAACCTGACTCTAGAATGTTTTAAATAGAAGGTTTTTTTATATGATGTATTTTTGATGTATGATGTATGATAAGCTGAAGCATATGAAAATATGTAGGGCAGATTTTAAAAATAAAACATTTGTTTGATTTGATCCAACTTCGTGGTTTTTTAAAATTATTATTTCTGGTTAACCTCACGTGCTGTGAAAAAGGACACCCTCACGTCTGAAGTTTCCCCACTGGAAAAATCTGCTCGCTGAAGTTAAGCCGTATTAACCTGAGCCTGGACAGAAGGACTGAAACTTAACACACAAGTGTTCCAGTGTTTCCGGTAACACTCACACAAAAAGGGTTAGGGTTAGTTCAGTGTTCCTACTTCACCAACAAAACTTAATTTAATTTCATGAAGCAGACATTTACAGTTTAAGATTATATAAGATAAACAGATAGCGCCGTAGTACCAATGTACTAAACAGTTTCATTAAGCCACATTATAGCAGCGAGTATCGCGCATATTGGCGTCATTTACAAGGCTTTCTATGTGTTTTTAAATGTAAACGTCTCAGCTATCCCATTTGAACGAGCTTCCACCAGTCTGTAGAAGCACACCACGGTGATTGACAGGCGGCCACAACCAACCAGAAGTCTTTATTTTACTGCTTGACATCTGGAGAAAGACTTCGATTGGTCGAGAGGTCGCGCTGTTCTCGCTGCAGAAGGCAGACTGAGCACTACTACAGCGGCAAAGTACGGAAATAAGACCGGAAATAATTCTTTTCACTAGTCAAAATAAAATACACAGCACAGATTAAAAACGTTGTATAGCTATTTGGCTACATATGTAATTATGTAATTTTTACTTGACAACAATATAAATTTTACATTAAAATGTTAATTTCACGCACATAATATTTACAATTTACCCTCTTTTCCGATTAAAAGCATGTGTTCTATTCAAGGTTAACATTATAATAATGGGTATACCACTTAGCATGGCTTAACTAATTGGTTAAAGTGTTTTACTCTGCTATAAATAAAATTCAGGAAGGTTTCGCTTGAATAGTATAAATTAAATATTCCGAACTATTAAATTGCTTTCAACATTTGCCATAATAAAAATAAAACGACGAGGCTACCATTGAAATATTAGCCATTCTCATTGTGTTTGCAAATACTTTCCGTGCTGACTTATAAACAAAAACTCTTATTTTGTGAGAGGAAAGCGGAAGTCAACATATTCTGCTCTGTCAGCTTTACGTCATTTGTGGCGTTTGATTCAGGTAGTTAGGCCTCGGTAAACATACGCAAGCATAAAGTTTAAGCTGAATAAAACTCTTTAAATAATATTCAATTAAAGTCAAATCCCAGTTAATTATTTTATGGCTTTTACTTTCAAAAAGCTTCCTCGCCATCTTTGTTGATGCTGTTTGGCGCTCACTCAGCTCGGTCCGCTCTTCGTGTGTCCGCTTCAGTGACGCTTTACAACAAGCTTTCTAACTTTCAGATACTAAACTCACCTTTTTCTCCGGTTGTTCTCCTGCGTTACTGTCTTTATCCTCGGTCCCCGGATCCCCCTCACCGCTGCGGTTCGTTCCACCACCGCAGCGGAATGGAAAATGTCCCTGCTCTCGTAACCAGGAAGTTCGTGCGGAGAAGCTGTACCGCTGACGCTGCTCCTGCTGCTGCTACTGTTACCGCTGCTACTGCCGCTACTGCGTCTGCCGCTGACGCGCAGCTTCCGGGCAGAAACCCAACACTTGCCGCGTCGCTGCTGCACTTCCCGCCGCCCGAGTGTTGATCTCAGTTCAATGTAGTGGTGGATGCTGCCGCAGCAGCGGCAGGTGCGGCGACACACGACGAACGTCCCGGGCCAATGTGCTTGTATTATGTTGTATTACTATTTTATCTTTATCCTTATTTT